TATATTTTCTATATAATTTCATTTTATTATTTATAATTTTTGACTTTTTTATTTTAATGACTTCTTATTATTTTTTACTATTGGGATGGGATGCAATGGGATGGCATGGCATGGCCTGGGATGCGATGAGATGGCATGCGATGGGATGGGATAGGATAGCGTGGAATGCGATGGATGGATGGATGCATGGATAGATAGATAGTTCGATTTTTTGGGGTATTTTCCTTTCAACCAAGCGGTCACCAACTGAGTAACACCACTGATTTCCCCGGGCAATTAACACCGGGTATCCCGCTAGTCTAATATATTTTAACGATAACGATAACTTTATCTATATATATAACGAATTTCTCTCATACATTGCTGTATATATGTTCTTTACTCTACCTCTATAATCTGTTGTTACAGACTGCGGGGGGATGATAACGTTGCCGAAGGGCGTTGTGAGCACACCCGGCTATCCAAAGATGCTGAAGAAGAACACGACGTGTGTGTGGGTCGTCTCCTTCCCGCCGCAGGACGGCGATAACGTCAACGTCGTTAAATACTCGTTCCTCATCAACGGCACCGCGTACCAGCCCGGGTATGTGCTCTATTGCAGGTTATGGAGTTTTCACTAGCAATCAATGTTAAACATTGTTGTTGGTTTGGTGTAACGTGGGCGATGTTGACGATGCAAAGCTTGTGTCATGGGAACAGGATCTGTCTCTCTCACATGTAACTTGTGGATACACTCGGCGGGGGGGCGTATGTGGAATTTGATCAAAATTTTAATACCCATTTTATTTGATAGATGGCGCCTCTGGGAAGCTATGTATGTGGATTTTTAACAGCAGATTTTTGTCGAACTTTTCAACTTATTTTCTAAAATAAAGCATTTTTTAAATTCCAGGGGCCCTTGAACAACGTACGGCCATACACGTTTAGGTTCCAATCCTTTTCTGTTTCTGAGAAATGCTGGAAAAATCATTTTTCATATAAATTTACAGTTTTTGCTGTCACATAATTAGCGATGACATTTCTGTGATTATTTTCATGGTGAGTGGAGAGAAACATTTTTTATTCAATAGTTGTGTGTTTGATTGGATTTGATGAACAGTTATGTTGTAATGCCCTGTATCTGTTTGTAACCCTGACTGTATCCTTAAAGGAATACTTGACTCTAGGTTCTAGGGTTATTTTCAGTTGATTTAGGTAAAAATTACGCTACATTAAAAATTGCATGGGTCAATCGCCAGTAGAAATTTTTTTTTAATGTTTTCAAACTAACGACTACAGTTTAATTACAACGACGGTGGCGCCACTCAAAGCGCACAATTACAACGACGGTGGCGCCACTCAAAGCGCACTATCTGAAAAGTTGCGCAAAACCACTTTCCAGCCAAGAGCTACATACCGAGGGTGTTTCTTATTTGTTCATTTAAAAGCAAAAGGATTGTAATATCTTATAAATGACATATAGTTTCAGTTATAATATGGATAAATTTTTCCTAAAATGAATATCGTTTGGTTAAAACATTTAGGTATAAATTGCACTCTTGTGATTAGCTATCGGTCTGTAACGTGCAAAATAAATTGGCAAATGCGCAACTTTCTCAGGGTGGCAGCACGGTGCGGGTGCCATGTCAGCGCCAAAAAGTGGGAATTTCGAAATTCAATGTTGTTTTATGACAAACGTGAATGCGTAATTATAGATATTTATAGGTATGTGCTATTATTTATAAATCTACTATCATAATATACTCTCAAATTCTAGAGTAGAGTATTCCTTTAATAGAATCCTTATTCACACGGTAGGAGTGTGGAAATCAGAGATGGCTCGTCCGTTCGATCCGACATCGTTGATGTCGGGACGGTTGTAATCAACAAAATGTCAACTAACATGACTCGATCCAGCGGTCTGTGGGTAAAGTACAGTGTGCGCCTCGTGAAAGGATCGGCTCCCGCCTTCCGGCTCAACTTCACTAAATACGGTACGATACGTGACACGTAGACACGCACGAACACACAAGCAAAGGCCTGCAAGCAAATGCTTAAAATGCATGCGCACACATTCATGCACACATCTTTTCGAGTCGTGCTGTTGTTAAGTGAGGCTTCATTTGGGTAGGACTCGAATGCCTTCTTTGCTCCATTAGCATCTGGGGTTGAGATTGCAGCATTTATTTAGAGTAGCATTCTCTTTCACATTTAATCTCAGCTAATGGAACCATATGTGTGTCCACAATTTTACATGTTCCCACCCTGCTCGTGTGATCATACGTGTGTGGGGTGTTCAAGGTCAAAGCGGCAGTGATTTGCTCCTATTGATTGTACGCAGTGCAGTTATGTCACATAGAGTACATTTGTTTGGTCGAAAGTGGCAAAACTCGGATTTGTCCAAGTGGCATCAGCAGCTGTTTCTAGCTACAGGCTGAACAAGAGGAAAAGGGTGACGGTGCTAACATATTTATGTCGTTTCTTCACAGCTTGCCCAAAGACACAGCAATGTGACAATGGCGTGTGCATGCAGGACAATTGGAAGTGCAATGGTAATAACGACTGTGGTGACAATTCGGATGAGATGGACTGTGGTGGCAAGCCAGTACCAGGCAGTACAGGCAGTAAGTACATCAAAGCTCATGTCTAACATTCTCACTAGAACTGCTGTGTCATTGTATAAGCTTCTATTCTGATTCAACAGAGAGTCACTTTATCCGTGCATTTGGAAATTTGGCATAGGGGTGCTGGGTATGCTTATCGCTATTTTACCTGGAAAAATTGCACACATGTCGATGAGGCTCTTTGTATACAGTCCAGTTTTTCTGTGCTAGCTGTTTTGTCTGACCTCCAAGAATATTGTTGCAAAATTCAATGCGATCTATGTGCCACAAGTGCAAACGTGGTGTACTCTTGTATAAACTACCTTACTCCTGATGTGTCTGCGTAGCTTCTAACTGTAATTGTGTGATTTTGTCACCCACAGTCTCTGTGACGGTGTTTGTGGTCACCCTGCTCGTCGTCACAGCCCTGACCATCGCCGCCACGCTGCTCATCCAGAGGTACGTCCTCAGAGCGCGGAGTCCGTACAACCAATTCCAAGACAACGCGGCAGAGGCTTAACAAATAGGGGTGCAAGCGATCAGTTTCCATTTCCTTCATGTCTGCCGATAGATCTGTTGGAATTGATGCGCAGACGAGCGGCACAGACTAATTATGGATTGCGAAAGGTTTCATGTCAATTAGTTTCACATGATGTATGTTCATTAAATTTGTAAACTCACTACCTAATTGAAAGTTATTTTCTTATAAAAAATTATAATCTGGCACACTGGTTATTGCCTGAATTTATTTTAAGTAGTGAAAGAAATTTCTATTATTTTATTATTGATTTAGATAATGTACTGGACTATTAATCTGTAGTACGTTATATGTAGTACGTTAAAAAATTATAATCTGGCACACTGGTTATTGCCTGAATTTATTTTAAGTAGTGAAAGAAATTTCTATTATTTTATTATTGATTTAGATAATGTACTGGACTATTAATCTGTAGTACGTATTTCTTGATGGGTAACCATTTCATTTTTAATTACCACGTTCTGAACGTTTTCAATTTTCATTGCATTATTGTTTTTTGGGAGATCTATCAGAAAATTGGGTGAATTGATACAAAACTATATAATCTCCGAGGATAACACAACTGAACCTGTTCCTTGCGTCAATTGGAATGTTGGTCCTATTGGTGTTTTTTCATTCTATTGGGGTTAGTAAAACGAGACTATAGGGCCATCCTTAAAAAATTATATGTTTGCTGTCCTCCGACCGACCCACGAAAATAGCCGCGACCCAAGTTTTTTTTAGACATTTTGGATTCCATTTTTTATTTTTTTTTACATTCGTCATAGTAAAGACTGAAACACAAAGCATGTGTGGCAAACATGACGACAGACTTAAAATAACTATTATGCCCAACAAAAAAAGACTTAACCTACCTACCCACTAAAAAAATCATGGGTCGGGGGGGGGGGGCAGCAAACATAGAAATTTTTAAGGATGGCCTAATGGAGTGGAGAAAGTAAGATGGAGCACAGTTATCACTCGATGTGCAATCTCATTTTGTCAATTGCATTGCTCATAAATAAATTGAGGTGATCCCCTCAGATAACACAATAAATAGGATACTAGGTTATTTATTAGCATGTACATGTACATTTTATGGCACCATTGTCCGATGGCTCCTGCAGAGCAATCATGTTCATTTTATGTAATCCAGATAATTTTCCTTTCATGTAATTCAGATACAAAACACAGAAGTCTGTGAGTATCACGATCAACTGGCACAGATATATTAACAAATAATGGAAGCGTCTGGCGTTCGTGCGGTCAAGACAATCATGTGTTGCGTAGCTCCGGCAATATCCGACCCTTCTTCACCGCCTTCTTGATCTTCTTCTGCACCTTCGTCTCCTTTCGCAGCTTGATGTTCGTACTGCGCTTCTTCTGCTGTTGCTCCTTCGTCTCTCTCACCTTCTCGACGCGCCCCTCCCACCGTTTCTTCCGCTGCTTGCTCGCCTTCTCCTTGCGCTTGACAGCCACCTTCAGGAGCTCCTCGTCGTTGCGCACCTTCGCGCCGGCTGCCTTCTCGAGTACGCTGCGCCACGCGTGTTTATCGGCGATCACGGCGCCACGTTCCGGGTCGCTCTGCCGCACCGCCGCCACCTTCTCCTTCTGCGCCTGTACCTTGGTGAGCATGCGCTTAAAGTCGCGGCCGACGTGCCGGCCGGCCGCCTTGCCGCCAGCGTCGGTGAAGTCGAACTTGCTGAACGTGAAGCTGTCCCCTGTACATCAAACGGTGAGACGAGCAGATGGAAATACTGTGCGAGACTTATCGCGGGCAATCAAATTTGATATCAGGCTGTCAGGGTCACTCGAGGGAAATGTCAATCGTCTTTTACTGAGAGGTGACTGGAGATGTGATAGGTAATGCAGGTTTGACTGTACGATGTGCTATTCTGCATGCATCTGGAGCAGTGTTTAAAAATTTGGTACTAAATTAATGAGTTCCGTTGTTTTTTATTATTTTGTTTAATTTTAATTATTTTTTCCACAGTGATAATGTGATTTTACCTTCTTTAACTTTTTTTGAAGTTGCTAATTCATTGTTTTTGGACATCTGGCTATCCTTAGAGTGGCCATTCTTTTCAGAAGTGACATTGCTTGCTTTTGCTTTGCTTTTATCTTTTTTTTTCTTTTTCTTCTCTTTTTGTAGTGTCCTCTTCTCCCTCTTCTGAATGTCATCTTTTCTTGAAGCTAAATATAATGTACAAATGTAATGTATGCTTCACAATCGGGTAACAAAGCTATAGAGGCCATAACTTTTAATTACTGAACCTTGAAAACTATTTTACCACTAGATGGCATCACGGGTATACTATTCACCAGTTCACCACGATTTCATAGGGCGCGTTTGTTTGGTCGGATCCACGGATCTCGATCCAATGGATTCGTTGATCTGACTGTTTGTTTGGTCGGTTCACTTGATCTCGATCCATCGAACCCGACCCTGCTAGCGAGGTGGATTCGAACGAGATCCAATATGGCGGCCCGGGCCTCAGCCAATCACAGTTTGTTCTTTGTTATGAACCATCCCGTGATAGGTCACAGCGAAACGTGAACCGGTGAAAGTGAGTTTGCGTTTGTTTGGTCGGATCAGGATCACATGATCTCGATCAGACGGATTCGTCCCAAAAAAAACGCGCCCATAGACTAGACATACACAAGGATTGTGTAAACATTAAATATGTGCTTCGCACTCAAGGTATCATTCAATTGTTACAATCTGGAATAATTAGCTATCGTAGTCTGTAAATTTACTCATAGTATATTAATATAGATCATATATTAATCATAGTATTTACAGATTAGATTTCAATTTCTACCACACAACTGCCCGATGAGCTTGTGACCAAATGGTCATGTTGAAATAGACACAAAAAACTTGCCTTTGGCCTGAGAGATTTTAGCATGAAGGCGCTCTTTCAGTTCCTCCTGGCTTGTGGCTTGCTTGGTGCTTAGTGTAGCCTTGCCAACAGGCCCACCTCCAAGCAACTTCTCCTGTGCTTGTGTGATCGTCCAGTTCTCCTCTGGATCAAGCTTGGCTCGCTTCTGCTTGGTCCGCTCTGTTATTGCGTTCTTGTTCTTTCTCTTCAATCCCTCGGCTACACGCGAAACAAGCGGTTTGTTACAATTGCGACCAACAACGTCTGATACCGTGTGGTCAATTAACCATACATTCAAACATATGAACACGACCCTTACAAAGTTTTACTTAAAACATGAATTTGGCCCAAGCTAACAAGAGTCCTAACATTCGTTTTTCTTTGTACATAGTTGACAAGTATTTTTTGCAAGTACCGATTTTGGTGAACTACATGCTTGAACACAATGATTGACACACAGCTACTATGATTGACTCACTTACCATTTAAGCTCACCTTTGATTTTTTGGTCCATGCTTGCAGCCTTTTTCTCCTTCAGCTTTTCCTTTACGTCTGCACTAAAGTAGTACTGTGGGGGAATCGCATCCAACATTCGCTTGAACAGATCATCGTAGGTTTGCAGCTTTTCCCTCAGGGTGACCTCGTTTTGTGTATCACTGGTCAATGGGTCAAGGTCGCATGCTTTTAAGGGATGCTCAGTCACCTTTTCCTCAGCTTTCAAACTTTTACTTTTATTCTTCTTTGTTTTCGTCATGATGGAACTTGCGCTACATGTGCCTATAATAAAAAATACTCTATTATATAACTTAGCTTGTCATACTTCACAAGATCAACTTATTGTAGGCAGTGAATGTGAATTTAAACAAGTGCATTTAAAAGGATACGCTCAAACTTTGATGCGAAAGTTTATTGATTTTCCATTTTCATTCTTATTCTATGGCTGACACTAGGTGTCACCTCTGTGCATACTTATTTCTCAACATAACGAATCAACGATGCATGTGAATTTCAAAGCATTTTGATTGCCTGCAGGGGCGTGTACAGGATTTGTACCAGGGGGGTCTAACCGTAACCCAAACTTGCAAGCACGCAAAGGGGGGGTGGAACCCGCCTCGCCGCCCACCCACGCCCTGCCCCCCTGTACATGCCCCTGCCCTGCGTACGTGTATAGTGAGCTGTGGCCCTTTAAACACTGCTGACGTTCGAGGCGTGATACAACCAGCCCTTTCACAGCATTCTTCATGCCAAAATCCATCGGCATAAACCCTTCTACAGCTGCTGTCATCTGCCAGTGATAGGTGAAATTGCTGCATGGTCGAAAATAGCATTTACCACCCTCACTACATTCACTGGTATGGGTTTGTTGACACGTAGCTTAGTGACGTCATGCAGTACACATCGTCTGACGGTAACCTCACAATTTCTCAAGATTTCGCCTACACCAATCTTCCTAACCTAGGACTGGGGCAAGTTAAAGCCATCAATACAGAAGTGTGCAAAGCTATACATGGGCAAAGCCCAACCTATATAAAGCATTTTCAAATACTTGTGCACCTCTTACAAATAAAAATGCTCAATGCTCCCAACTATAGATCAATAGCTCTTGCAAGAAATCTTTTCGGTATCATGGTGCTTGCTATGGAATAAACTACCCCCCAACATCCGTCAGGCCACAGACCTCAGCACCTTTAGAGGCTCCTAAGGTCGTGGTCAGGTCCATCCTGCAGATGTGCGCCGTGACGCTGACCCGCCCCCCCCCCCCATCTCTTTGTGTCGGCTTTCTCCATGCCAAACTTACACACTTTCCATAAAATTTATCGTGGTCAAGTGAAGATTGGCATTCCCTCTTGTTAGCCTATTCGTTGCACTCGATCATCTGAGCGTGATCATTGCTTTCACAGTTTCGACGTGCCATCTTCTAAGGATCCCTTTAAGTTTAGCTTCTATGTTTTTGTAATTTCTGTATTGGAATTCTCTCCTTTCGTCTTTAGAAAATTACAAATTTGCAGCTATTTCTACCGCCATCTGCAGTGTTGATCTGTCTATTTATCTGTCTATCTGTCTACTTGTCGCTCTGACACTGTCTTTGAGTTTGATATTATAGTCCCTTGGACCCTTGGACTTTGAACTTGATGACCACAAGGTTACAAGGTTACGACATAGCCATAATTTGACCACTTGGTGATCTCATCTGGATGATGTATAACGTCATCAATGTGATCCAAACAGGTAACAATGGTCGATACTGATTATACATTTCTAACCCGGGCCCTACTGTATATGTTAATATGTATGATCAGAATGATCATAGGCCTACTAGTACTACATCATGATGATCACAGGCACTTGGAGCGTTTCAATAAAATATAATGCTAAACAAGTGCCGCAGAGCGACAGCGCTCAACTAACGTGTGCGTGTACTGAGTAGGCCGGGTAATTCTTCTAATAAACTCACTGGCAACCGAATCAAGTGCGCCGCTCGTCCCGCCTCCGCGTTCGCGCTCAGAGCATATATCTAGGATACTACTAATACAGATCTAAATCTATGATACTAGGCTTTGTTTATACCGGTAAGACAGTAATAAAGATACAGCTGATGTAACTTTAAATGACTTTGCTATATAACATGTTATCATGGGATATGAGTCGAGCGCGACAAGTGGTGGTGGTGGGGGAGAGGTGGGGGAGGGGGCGGGTGGACGGGCTCTAATACGAAGCAAAAGCAGTTTTCTGCGCGAAGATGGTGCGTGCAACGTGTCATGCATAATTCAAAAATGGCATACCCTTCGTGCGTGAATAACCTCACTGCCAATGAGTTGCTGAAATCCAAGTATATTCAGGCAGGCGAGAATTTCCGCTCAGCCTGTGATTAACACATCACTGCATTGGCAGGTTGCCAGCAATAATTATGATTTAGAATAGTCCCAGTTTCACACCACATGCATGCGTAATGGGCTGCCCCCCGTGTTTTTGGCTACCAACCCCGAGCATTCAAGGGTTCAATTACGTGTGCGTAGAATACAGGGTTGCTAAACTCGACAGGTACTAATACGACTGCTTTAGAAAATAATAATGATTTAAGGAGTGTACAACCCTATTCCAGACAAAACATTTGCCTTTGCAATTGAACTAGGCAACATGTTAGCCTCCAAGCCCACAGTAGCAAAAGCCAGTTTCAGATCCCTTTGTTAAGCAGTCAACGCAAATCGCCATGTTAACCTCACTCGTTGAGGGTCAAAGAGTGTTATCAAACACTTACTGAGTATATATACGCCGTAATAACCGCAATTTGCCTCAGATTTCAACCCTGTATTTGCCTGCGGTTTTATGAAAGTGCGCCATACGTGAGGGGAAATATACTAGGCGCAATACTTGGGTTACCGCGATCAAATTGAGGTTGGCGGCTTAATAGGGTGCCCGCGGTTATTACGCGACTCCAATATACGGTACTCTTCGCGACTCAGTGGAAAGCGACATTTCATGGTCCTTAAATAAAGCCGACTAAAGATTGGTGAAGGTTCTCACCCTTGGACACAAAAAGTTTTTCAATCGGGCTCCGTCAGACCATGTCTCAAGAAAGATGTCTAAAATCTGCCGCTGTCCCCATTGACATTGACGCTGTGACCAATCCAAATCGTTCAGCGACCAGTGATGGCTTTCCTACCGATGATGCTTACACTGAAACCTCATAGCCTAGGCTCGAGCCGTTTGGATTCCGTGGGCCCGCAAATTCTGCATTTTCCCTCCCTATACCTTCGGTTTTAAGGAGGGAATGTTTCCAGCCTTCTTTCGTTTACAAAACGCTCTCTTGACCTTTGACCTTTAACCCCCAGCTTCGATCTTCCAAACTCCGTTTTTCTTGATTACCCCCCCCCCCCATCATGATATCGTGACCGGTTACTCGAGCAAAGCGTTTAAGATTTGTGCCCAACTGTTACGCACAGATAGGACGGCCCGGACGCCGGTATGCCAACGCACGCGCACGCCAATGCTCATCCGATTTCCCTACTACAAACTTGAATCCAACTATGTCCAGATGAGCTAATAAATACGAAACGCTATTTTACTACCAAAGTCTAATGTTTCTATACTATCTTTCACCTATTAAGTGCCGCAATTTCCTGTATAATGCCGTCCCAAATGCTCAAACATGCAACAAAACGCTCAGCTGTCCGCTGCACAACTGAACACATACAATGATATAGCAGGTAGAAAGCGTGCTGCCAAAACTTCGCTCCGACGCTTTGTGTTTTGAATTTTTAATAATCGAAATTAACAAACAACAAATATTTCAAACCAATTCTACTCACCATCCGTTTGTTTTTCTATTGAAGATACAGGTGTTTTCACGTTTTATAAAAACCGGATAATGTCCTGGTGGTTCGTAAAGCCGAGCTGTCACGCGGAAAATCACACAAAGCCTGAACGAAATTCTCAGCGGGTCTGGCGGTTTGCTCCCGGTTGCGGCAAAGCTTTAATTGTAAATGGCTGGTCCGGACATCAGGAAAAACCCACCCGGGTGGGGTTCTTTCGGTGACCTTATTTTTGCGCCGCAAAGGCGCTGCAACGTCTTTTGCAAAGCTCCACTTGGCGACTTTGACGAGTCTACAGAATTACGGGAGTTGGAAAGCAGCGGATGGTAGTTTCCCAAAAATGCAAGTGCGCTGCCCATATTATAGCCCTGTACTTGCAGCCATTTACATAAACTGCGCAACGAGGAGCGAACAGCGAGAAATTGTCGTCCAGGCTGCTTGTGTGATTTCGCGTGAACATCTCGTTACGAACACGAGAACGTAATGCTTTTATAACAATGAAACACTGTTCTTCAAACTAGAAAACAAAGATGCGACTAAGAATGGTTGAATATTTGTGTTGTAATTCGATGAAATCAAGGCGAGCGATCGAGCAAGATGTTTGGACAGCACGCACTTTCCTACCTGCTATATGTTTATCGTGTCAGTTTGTGGCTCATAGGGCTAATGTCCTCCCAGGGTACTATCGGAGTGTACCCTGGGTAACGATTCGATATATTCGGAAACGTATCCTGGTAACTATCTGAATATGGTTAGGGGTAAGGTTACGGGGTAGGCCGTAGGCGCTGACCTCCGACTAGACTGCGTTAGTGAAGTAGGTCAGAGGGTACGGCCGCGGCATATTAAGATAGTACCAAGGGTAACGTTCCGATATATGCGAAACCGTACCCAGAGTACGCCTCCGATAGTATCGGCACGAAGGGTCGTTGTCGTAATAATACTGTATAATATGTACCCGAGGTAACTATTTGATATGATAGGGTTTAGGGTTAGGGGTGTAGGGGTGTTAGGGAGGTAGTAGGCCATAGGCACACATAACTCGCCGACCGACCTCGGGTTACTCACATATACGACCAACGACCGCCTTCCAGCAAATGAGTACCGGCTGGGGGACATAACGACCTCTCCCTCAGCGTCAAGTGTGCAGCGCACGGAGAGACGCGCAGCCGAGCGTTTGTTTTGCAGATGAGCATTTGGACGGCAATTTTACAATAGAAATTGTCGGCAATAATAGGTGAAAGAGAGTCATAAGAGAACATTAAAGACTTTTTTGGTAAGTAAATAGATTTCGCTATTTATCTTAGCATTATATTTCAATGTGAAACTTCTCCGAGTGCCCTGTACTAGGTAGCCTAGGCACGTAAACATCACGCGCTTTTAGCATCGTAAAAATTAACTTGCAACGGCACCACCCGCCCAGGATGGCGCTGATGCGGAGGTCTATCGGCATTTTCGGTGAGCTACTCGAATGGAACATCGGACAGCACACTCTCGTAGTTCTGGTAACAGGGGTACGAAAACAGCAGTAAGTAAGGGAGGGGGAGGAGGAGGAAAAGGGGAGGGAGAGGAAGTTTCCCACCGAGCTTCTGGCCATTCTTCCCCATCCTTCCTCCACCAGCATTCATTCCCCCTCCTCCTTGCTCCAGCCAGCTTCTCCCCTCCTCCACCACGCCTTCTCCCCCTCCTCCGTCCACCAGCTCCATTCTCCCCTCCTTCTCCACCAGGCATTTCCCCGCAACCCTCCTCCTTCCTTCCCACCAGCTCTCCCCCTCCTGCCACCAAACCTTGCTGCCCTTTCCTTCCTCCACCAGCTTCTCCCGTTCTCCCCTTTCCTCACTCTTAACAACTTCAGCTTTCTCCCATTCTCGGTCCCTTTTCCTCATTCCTCTCACCACCTTCATCCCCTCACCTCCTATTTGCTCTCCCCAGGTGCGCGTTCCATCATCGCAACCCAGGACTCACCTTCACTCGCCGACCACTCTTTCGTGGGGCCTACTCCCATTCCTTCTTCGCTAGAACACCCAGCGCCGTTATCTTCTGTCCTATACGCCCGAAACGCCGATAGACCACGTAGCGCCATCTGGCGGTGGCGTTTGCAAGTTAATTTACGACGCTAAACCTGATGTTTACCAGCCTAAGCTGTGAAGTACACCGACAACGTCAACGGCAATGGCACAAACGTAAGAAATAACATAACCATTATAATCGCTTACCAGCCCCTTGAGAACTTTCGCTCTTAGTCTGGTTCCAGTGGGTCAGTTTGACCATAGATATATCATAGACTAAGAATTATTCTATGCTATTTCTGAGCCAGCGTGTATTTCAGAATGAGATTTTGCGCCACAGTTTCATGTCAGTTTTCACTAAATAAGTAAACTTTTAAGTTATCTCTAAGAATATTATTTATTAACACAAATTAAATACAAAAGATATATATCTATAAATTTAAAATATGTTTTTAAGTAATTTGTTTCACATAAACAGCATTTTTTGCAAAGAAATATGTGTTTTTAATGGTAACGAATCATCTGTCATCGATAGCCCTCTTCGTCATTAGAAATGGCACCCTCATCGAAGAGCATTGAGTTTTTCCAAACTCCACGTATTTTCTGGTTTATTATTATACCATTTGGTATTTTATTACTAGCGGTAAGTTAATTAAAGTTGGGGTTTCTTACTGCTTCGGTGGTTAGTTTAGTACCCGGCCGGGGGCGTTGGGGTAAGGGCCTAAGCACTTATTTCCATACCTCAAAGTCAAACCGACCCAAGCCAAGGATAGATCATAGAGAACATGGGTCCCAATAAAACCAATGTGCCTAAGCCTAACCCTAATCCTAACCCTAACCATAACCCTAACCTATTATATTGATATAATATTATATTTATATTGATGTAAATGACATTGGTTTTATTGGGACCCATGTTCACTATCCTTGAACCGTCAAACCGCCTTAAAACCATATCCCAGAAATCACCGCAGCCTACGCCCTACTCCCTAACCCTAACCCTAACCCTAACCCTAATTAAATTTAATTAACACTAATAAATTAAATTTAATTAAAACAAATTTATTTTTTTATTAAATTGTTGTAAATAAATCATGACGTAAATAGTTGCTTTAATTGGGAAAAAATAGTTAAATGGATAAAGATTGAAAAATAAAAAAATAAAAATAAAAAGATGGGATTTGATTCAACGACCTTCAGACGTAGCGCACGCCGGCGTACGCGCTCGGCTATTCAGCGTTATTGTACTAAAATATTATGGATGTGCGTGCGCTGCAGTGGTTTCTGGGATAGCCTAGACCTAGGGCGGTTTGAGGTATGGAAATAAGTGCTCGCCTGTCATTGGAGACTGTGAATCTTCTGTGGCTCGGATGACCACGTGGCACGTAAAATGGCGGTCCCGTCTCCAGTAATACTAAGGCCAATGGGGACGTAAACGGGTTCAAGGATAGAGATGATGTCCAGGACGGTGATTGGATAGGATATCATGATGTTTATTACTGGACATGCTCTCTTATGCTGAGGCTGAGAGGGTCTATGTCCCCCAGGGTGCTGCCGGAACGTACCCTGTGTACGGTCCGGTATAACGGAAAGTACCCTGGTAGTATCTAATATGCCGGATCGTACCTCGCCTACTCCACTAACGAGTCTAGGGAGTCGCCAACTCCCTAACCCTAACCCTAACCATATCAGATAGTTACGAGGGTACGTTCCGATATATCGAACCGTACCCAGGGTACCCTCCGATAGTACCCTGGGGGACATAGACCCTATGAGCCTAACTACCTGGCTTTACCCAAGCTAGGTCACACCCCATGGCTAGCTATGGCGTTCCCTATAGTATAGCTATCCTTGCGTTATTATCCACGTAACCATTAGCTCTAGTCCTATAGCCCGCTTACATTAACTGCCGCTGGCAGCTAGTCATGTGCTTATGTGCATTTTTCTGGGGATGGATCCATAGCTTTCACCGGATTCTGAAAGGGGTCCATGACTCAAAATAGGTTAACAACCACTGATCTAAGGTATATATGATGACTCAAAAATGCTTAAACTACTTGTCACAGATTGCCCTTGTAAAAACTTATGTCCTTGAAAGGTCCTTGAAAAATATATTCACATTTGTGGGAACCATGTTATTGTTTAGACAAGATGACAGGCAATGAATAGTCATTGAATAACTTCAATAAGTAAATCGCTATCCTTTTGTTCTTAATTTTCAGTTATAACCTTGTACATTTTCCAGTTATCTGTGTACTGCCCAGATGATATACCTGGAGTATTTGGACCGCTGACCACATTAAGCAAGTACTTAGGGAAAAACCATCATGCTACAATGGAGATAGTGTAAGCTGGCTGGATATACTAAAAACTACTAGCACTAGTGTAGCACATGTATGAAAATATATTGTGGGGGTCCCGAATTGCCGTGCCGAACTGCTAGCATACGTTTTGGCCGCGTTCAGCGAGCGTGTCGAAGTGGTACCGCGTGTCGCATGCGACAGGCGCTTCCCGCGCGCTACGAGGAGCATAGTCAACTGTCAACCACCTGGGAGAGGCGGTCTACAGCTATTGCAACCGCTCAAGTAGGTGTGAAATGAGCGATTCGTGAGCGCTTGAGCAAGCTGCTTGGTAGGCGCATGCATGTCAGATTTTTCTGACACCACTGTATAATAAAATTGCTAGGGTCGGTCGGGATTTCTCTAAGTCCCGGCCCGATTCATAGCAATCTCTTAGGCGTAAAAAAAAAGATGAGTTTCCGCTTTCATCGTAGTCTCATCAGCGTAATGAGCGTCCATATGGCCCCCGTAGACGGCCATTTCGCGAGTTTTAATAATTTCACTGATAATGGTCGTGCAGACTTCGGATTTCCACCAAAATCTATCTTATTGGCTGCTCGTATTGCCAGATACAGTGCTCGCTCTTGCAGCTAACACAGCCCTCTAGTTCCTTCTCCTTCTACCATCTTTTCTCGCATTTCCAGTCATGGACGCGGCCATTACTCCACAATAACGTCTTGTTATTTATCCCCATGGTGATGACCCGCCTCTTACGCTGGATTTGGTAATCTATGTAGTAATAACGTACATGAGTCAGCGCTACACAGCGGCGACCGGAAGCAACGTACTGTTGGAGTGTTCTTCACTCACCCGTTGTGCCCGGAGGCGTTGAAACGGCCGTATCGTCGCCATCCGGACTCCGCTAGCCACTCGAGCGCTTCAGTGCTACTGCTACACATTGTTTCATTTTTGTGAAGATCGAAGTGCAATTTTTCATCATATCCTTGCAACAATTATAGCTGTACCCTACTGGATCACAAGTTCTCTGGTAGTGCTTGGGAGTTGACAGTACCACACATGACAGGTATAAACTGAATCATGAATAGGGACTATAGTGAATGTCTGATTTATAACATTTTCAGATGGATATTATGCGTTTTGGCTCATTTCCTGGAGGCAGCTGTGGCCGTCGTTAAAT